ATTATTTGTTTGCTATTATGTCCCACATGTTAGGGAATAAGTGTTGAAAGTTTTGCATGATGTGTGATCATTATTTTTGATGTAACATACGTTCTGTTGTGGAAGACATAGTTCTGTTCAATAATTCTGTATAGTTTGTTATACACTAGAGATGCTTTTCCACTCAACATTGTTGTATGTAGTGTACTTCTCTGTGTTTAGGTATATAATCTGTAGTATATTTGTTTGTAATATGTTCAATAGTGCTATGTATAGTGTGACCATCAAAGATTTTAGAGAAAATGTCTCTTGCATAAGTATATTATTGTTGGATTCATTGGATTTGCTTGTCAGATTTAATGGATTTGCTTTGAATTTGTTGTGATAACTTTATAATTGTGTTTTGTAGGATGTACAACATTAAATAGTGACATAGTCAATATTTCTACATCATTTAATTGTTTGCTATGTTTCAATCGTTTGTTCGTTATGTTTTATGTTTTGTAAATATATGCTGTTATTACTCCCCTTCAATTTGAGAAGGTTTGCTTTGAGCAATTGGCTTTTGTGTATAATCAATTCGTTTGTACGTTTTTGTCATTTTATTATTTGTTTAAGTATTGTATGTGAATGTGTGAATGTGTTTTGTTGAATAATTTCAATGTTATTCATTATCTTTGTCTGATTTAGTTATTAATTCTTTTTGGCATTATACTGAATGTTATTTGAGTTTATACTCAAATAGATTGTATGTATGCTCATGTATTTTGTTTGATTGTTATGCATACGTCCAAATAGTTTGTTATTTGGATAAATATAATCTATTGTATTGTTTAGCAATGTTAAGTTTGTGTATTTTGTCTGTTATATTTGCATACATTGAGATGCATTTATTTTTTTTATTTTTTTTGCTTAGTATCATTTGTCTTCTGTTTGATGACAAAAGTATTTGAGCTATTGTGTTTTGTTTGCATTTTGTTTATTAATCTTTATTCTTTTGTGATGGGTGCAAGCTTCAAGCAAGGCTGTTAATGAAGAATACACTATTATGATATTGTTTGAACTTCAAATAGTTAATGATATTTGTTATTTATTGATCATAGATATATTCTTTGTGAATAAATATCTGTCTGCTGTTTGCAGTAATCAATTAAATCTGTCACACATTGTGTTTAATCATTAGTGAAGTGTCTGATTGAGTTCCAAACTTATGTTTGTTTCTTTTGGATTTTGTTCCAACGTTTGTTTGTCTTTTGTGTACTTGGCAGTAGTGTTCTTTCTGTTGCTTGGCCCTTCAGACTATCCAATGTTAGGCTCTAATGTTTTCAAGGCATTAGTTATTTTGTTTTGTGTCTGTATTATTGTATTTTGTCAAGTTTTTAAGTGATGTTTAATTGTTTATAACATTTTGTATGTTAATGATAGTTTTTCAATGTGTCCAAAATATGTTTATATTGTTTAAACTGTTTGTATTAATTGTATTGACTTAATACTTCATTATCATGTATGTCATATTGATACATTATATTGTTACAATGTATTTGTAACTATTGTTTGTTCAATTGCATTTGCATGTAGCATTATACCATTTGATAAATAATAGTTTTATGTGTTTGAATGCATTATTATTATCATTTTGTATGTCTGCATATCTATGTGATATATATGTATTGATAAATATATATGTTATTCATCATAACTGTCTGTTTGTAATAGTAGAAATTGTTTTAATATGTGAGTTATTATGCTTTAATAGTATTTATACTCTTGTTTTTGTGTTATTCATTTGTTTAATCATTATTAGAATAATTGTATGTCTGTAATAGTATTTCTTTATCTTATTATTATGCTTTGCTAGCATTATTCTTTCATTTATAATATTTAATCGTTTATATTATATTAGTCAAACGTTTGTCCATAATGTGAGATGTTATTATTATAATGTATCTCTGTAGCTGTAGTTAAAGCAACTAGTCTGTCTGTCTGAATCACAATTGAATAAATCAATGTGCATTTGGGATGCTCAGACAGGTGTGTCTAAGTCCTTGTAGACAGTATGTTCTGTTTACAAATATCACTGCATACATTGTTTTATGGGGGGATTGTAGTCTTTGAGACAAGACAATTCACATTTGGTATGCTTGTATGAGGGCACCAAAGGTTTGTGAACGAATAGAATAGATTGTACACATAGAATCAAGTAGATTCAGTATTTAATGGAATAGATTGATGGTACTTATTGAGTGTAATATGATTAAATGTATCATATCAATGGTACTATAGCGAATAGTACACTGAAGTGTTCAAGGTAATATGCATTACCACTAGGGGCAAATCATAGTCACTGAGACGATGATTTTAGGACGTTCTGTTTGTAGGGGATTTGGTAAAAGCATAGTAGTGATGTAAATATAAGCAGGGAGTGCAAGGCTCATAACCTGTTAGCCTGCCTAAATCCTGAGGCATCTTAGAGGGGAATCACACAACAAGGGGTGTAGTAGACTCTGCTCATTGTTCATTAAGCTTCATCATCCATTAATTAGAGTACTATTTATACTAATGATATCTATGTTTCGGATGCATGTCTCAATTCAGTATGTTCCATTGTAATGACATACTTATGACAGCATATATGCATGCTATCTGAGACATTATGAGCATGCTAATCACTAATGTTAACACATTTATTAATGAAGACACACCAAGATTACAAGGAAAACACAGTACAAATATTTGCCTCAATATAGAGTACTATCTAAGATGACAGAACACACAGTCACACTATACTAACAACCAGTCACTGTAAAGGACCAACAAAACAATACAATATTAAAGTAATATACAGGGATCACTGCCTGATAATACTATCAGGACACAAGCACTTCAGATTTATGGAACTCAGATCTGAAGATCCTTATGTACTCAGTAAATGGTGCAAGGCAGGCAAGCCTTACACAAAGCTCATTATACTATACAGGCACTCAATGACAGAGCTACCCAGAACTTGGAATTAACAGTGCCAATCACAAAAAGGCTAATTAAACTTAGCCAAGGAAGAGAAGCACTCCCAAGGAATCAAACATAAAGGCTGTGCAAGAAGCATGTGGTGCAAAAGATCTAACATTGATCCTTATCCTGAAATGGAAACAACCAATGCCTCAAACATACAAAATCACTAATACATGTGTCATAAAACATATAGTAACATACTAAAAATACTGTAACATAATGTACAGACCACCCAAGGAACAGAGCCACTCAGCTCACAAAGAAATAAGAGGAGAAAGTCTTAATTAAAGTAGTATAAAAAGAGTCTCATTTATTGTGTAAAGAGTATTGTACTTGATAACAGTTTATTTAAGGACAGCTTGTGAACTAGCTGTAACAACATACTTGCTCTCTTATATAAATCTTTACACAACACCAATACCCTTTTTACCTCAAAATCTAAATGTGTTAAGCTGCTCTTAGAGGCATTAACTCCCCCTCTGCTAAGCACAAGTACTATCAACACTCCTAAGGATATACTCCTAGTTGAGCAAAGACAGAGGCTATGCCTGGGACTAGTAGTTATGTGGTTAAGGACCTGCCTGTTGCCTGTAAACCTACAACAAGAGGTGTAATTCCTGTACAGAAATATAGTCTATAACAAATATCTGCCTCTTACTTTCCTCCTCCTCTTGTACTTCCAGAATTCACTACTGTTCCTCTAGTCTGCTATCCTTCTTCTTCTAATACTTAGCTTGCTAAATTTGCTCAGTAATCTCTCTCTGTGTAGTTACAAGTATTCTGTCATTTTACATAAGTATTAATTAAGCTTATTCTCTCAGGCTTTTACTACAATCTTGTACTCTTTCTACTGTTACAGTTCTGCTACTCACTAACACCTTATCCATATTCTCCTAAGAGATAGATTAATGTTAAGACTTATTTTCAATACTATCAAGCTTTCTTAAAAGAGTTGTTCTTAAGACATTAACTTCTTTAGAAATAGTAAGAACAGATAAAGTAGAATTTGTAGAATTTGAATGAGTATAAGAATTCAAAATAGTTGAAACAGCTTGTTTAAGCCTAGCTTCTTTTTCTGAGAGGGTTTCACTCTTAGTTAAAAGAAATATCTGACTAGATCCACTAGCTATAAGAAGTAAAAAAGTTAAGGAGTTAAGGAGGATCAAAAAAGAAGAAGTGATAGTAAAAGAAGAGAAAGGGAAATAATGTTGTCTTATTTCTTTTCAGCATATTTTTTCGTTACTATAGTAACCAATTAATACTAGTATTACTTATACATAATAAACATATCTTAACTCATATGTTTTTATAACAATAACCCTTATTTTTCAATAATACTTATAATAACTAAAAAAATTATAGTTATAAAATTAATACCTTATTATTAATTGAAATAATTATTCTTATATTATAAAATTTGGTACTTATATACTAACAATATATATAATAATAAATATTGACTTTATTTTGTAAGTTACATATGTAGAGCTATGTATAAAAAATATAAAGATAGAGATTAGTAAATTTGTACCTTCTAATTTGTCAAAACCAGTCTAATAGCAATATTCATTCTAACTTGCTTAAAACATCTACGATTCTTTTGGAAAAAAATAAATATATAATACATATGTAATCACACAATACTACCAACCTACAGCTTCAAAGGTGTATTATTTGAATTATTATAGGATATATAAACTGTGGGAAAGAATCCAGTTCACTCCAAAGATTGACTTTTTGTACTTTTCAGATTATAAGCTTGATAACTTTTCTTTAACTCAAATTTTTTTCTTGAAATTTCAGGATAATATTAATTGAATTTTTAGCTACATATATACAAAACCTCATAATGATTGAGCAAAAATTGAAGGAGTAATAGTAGATTGTCCGGTTGTGGGTATTGTCTGCAAGGGGCGCCTCGACAGTATGTAATGAAAGTAAGTGAGTCATGATCGACGCTTCTAAATTCAGTCATTCAAAATTCTCATTCCAGATCCGAGTGACCACTGACCACTGACTACCGTACTGACTGTTTGACTGTGTGCTGCACTCACGACTCTTGCCACGACCACGACATACGCGGCTCCCCTTACTTACACTTCAACATCAGGTCTTTCAAATAAAAAGCTACTTACTATGCGATACTATGAACAGCGATACCCGGAGGTCGACGAATTGGTCATGGTACAAGTTCGCCAGATCGCCGAGATGGGTGCATATGTCAAACTGGTTGGTACTTTATCTCGTTTCTCTGTTTAGCTCTGCTCCTCTTTGGAGACTGGAATACAATGCTCGGGGTCAATACTGATATATGGTGGTTGACTATCGTTTCGATATGCATAGTTAGAATATGACAACATCGAAGGAATGATCTTGCTTTCCGAGCTATCTCGTCGACGTATTCGGTCGATTCAAAAGTTGATCCGGGTTGGGAGGAATGAAGTTGTCGTTGTCCTACGTGTAGACAGGGAAAAAGGTATGTAGTCTTCATTTAAGGAGGCTACATTCATCACAGACTCTTATTCACGTACTATGTGTACAGGCTACATCGATCTGAGCAAGCGACGCGTGTCACCAGAAGACATTGTCAAATGTGAAGAGCGGTTCATGAAAAGCAAGACTGTTGCATCGATTTTGCGACACGTTGCATCAAAATTATCCTCCGAGGAAGTAGCCGCGGAGGGGCCAGCCCACACTGGCGCCACAGCTGCTAAGCCAACAGAGGCTGGCGCTGGTGAGGACGAGGAGGGAGAGGGAGCAGCGCCCGTAGGAGGGGGAGAAGAAGCACGGCTTGAAGCACTGTATGAACAGGTTGCTTGGCCGCTGGGGAAGATCTACAGCCACCCATACGATGCATTTAAACTCGCACTTACGGAGCCGGAGAAGGTCTTTGGTCAACTCTCGCCGCCGCCATCTCCAGCGACAATCGCGCAGTTGACATCGACAATTGCAAGGCGACTGACGCCTCAGCCGATCAAGTTGCGTGCGGACATCGAGCTGACGTGCTACACGGATGCAGGGATAGACGCGATCAAGCGCGCGTTGAGGGCGGGTGAGAAGGCAAGCACGGAGGCTGTGCCTATTAAGGCGAAGCTTGTTGCGCCGCCGCTGTATGTTTTGGCGACGAATGCAACTGACAAGGTGACCTATTTGTGCTTGTGCTTGTTCATCTTTTACATTTGTTAAGCTTAAAGTCTATTATTATTCAGTATGCTGCGACTGAACGGCTCGAGCGTGCGATCGAGACGATTCAGAGCACAATTGAGGAGGAGGGCGGCAACCTTGTCGTGAAAATGAAGGCACGTTTTGTTCTCGTGATGATGGTCTTCATAATTTCGTGCTGACTTAATACCATGAACAGCCCAAGGCGGTCTCTGAAACGGACGAAGCGGAGCTCTCACAGCTGATGGCGAAGGCGAGTGCGGAGAACGCGGAGGTGTCTGGCGATGACGATGACGAGGAAGACTGAGGTGCATGTCACCTAGCATTGTTCTGTATAACCCAGTAAGTACAGTGTACAACAGCACCAGCCCGTGAATGCCATGCAAAATAAAATTTAAAAATAAAATTGAAATAAAAATGAAAATGAAATAAATTAATGAAGATTACCTAATCTGGGTGCGTTGGACGAGTGCGCCCTGCTGCTGCTCTGTCCCCTCCTACCCCTTCTCCTGTCTTTATCATCCCCTGCGACGCACAACCCATGGCTGCTTCAGACGTCCTTGACGATGCAGAAGACCTCTCGATTAGCACGCTGGATACAAGACAAGACAGAGACAAGGACAAGGACAGGAATAAAGCAGCCAAGAGCTCGTCATCCAAATGTACGTTGACGTTCGCTGTCTGTCTGCATCCTGTAGCGCCTACCCGCTGAACTCGTCGTCCATCCGTATACTGACTTGTCGTTCATCAGCAAAAGACCTGTCGCATGTGCCCTGCAAATTCTTTCGCGTAGGCTCTTGCACCGCGGGTGCATCCTGCCCGTTCTCGCACCAAGTCCAGCAGCCTGGCCAGCAGAAGGACGTCTGTGCATGGTTCATCAAGGGAAACTGCAAGTTCGGCCACAAATGCGCACTTGCGCATATTCTCCCTGGACAATCCAGCGCGATGGACCGAAGGAACAAGAAGGCCGCGCAACTTGCTGCGCAGGCTGTAGCTGGCTCGGCCGGCACCGCTCAGAAGGACAAGGAGAGAGAACGCGACTCAAGGAGCCACAAGTCCTCGTCGACGGTTTCTAGCCAGGGCACAGTGAGGGCGACGCAGAGTCGGAGCAATACACTACTATCTGGTTCAACTGCGCCCACACGCGTACTTTCTACCGGATCGCGCCCACCGCTGCCTATCTCAATCTCCAAGGCAGCTCCTGCCCCAGCAGAGACCGCACCCGCACTGCACGATGCTGACTTTACCTCCCGTGATGCATTCGGCAAGCCCGCTGAACAAGGTGAGAATGGGATGGATGCACGCGATGTGCACGCACAGCAGCCGGGCGTCGATGACGCAAGTAAGGACAAATTGACGGACAATAACCCAGCGAACGGTGTGACGTCTCCCAAACCGCTGACGGAAACGGGCCCATTCCCTGTGTCGACGCCTGCAAGACCGCATCGATTCACTGGGCGACACGGTTCGTCTCCATCCGTCGACTTTGGACCGGTCGGGTCTCCGCCTCGTGCCTCTCCTTCGATGAACAACTCCAACCCGATTCGGATCAACGGATTCTCGCCCGGAACGTCGCCGCGCGATCATCATCATGTACCGGTGACGCAGCCGCTTGCACCTCCGGGGACCGCGTTCAGCCCTCCGGCAACCGCTACGAATATGTTCGTGGATCCGTCCAGTCCACGTGGAACCGGAAGTGGTCTCGCCGCTTCGCTTTCGCTTGGTACGTCACAGGTGCCTCCACACACGCAATCCTTCGCTGTTGGTTCCCTGCCAATCCTCTCGCGACCGATTGCGGACCCACAGTCGTTTGCGGAGGCTCTCGACGACGACGATATGGAAGACCTGGTACCATCCTCGCTCAAAGACTTGCTCACGCCTGAAGAGCAGAGCCGGCGCATGTCTCGCACGTCATCCTCTCAAGCACCTGGCACCAATGTTGCTGGGAGTGCAGCAGGAATAGCGACCCCAGTCTCACGGGCCGGAGTTCAGCGTGAGGACGGTCGGCACCGGCATTCCCGGAGTGTGCCGAGTACGTCTTTGCTATCACAGAATGTTCGCTCAATCTGGTCGGATGCTGGCGGCGAGTTGGGACAAGACAATGTCGCTTTCGGATTATCACCGTCAACAGGAGGTGCAGGCCCAATGGGCACCTCTCCTTCATTCGCTCCTTCGCCTGGCCTGCATGCGTTTGACAATAACGAAGGTCCATCACCAAGTATGCTTAGTCCATCAAACGCGAGCGCTGCGTTCCTCGGTCTTCATCAATACATGGGCCCTTCTCGTGTTCCGGGCGGGATCAGCGCAGTGCGCGCCGTGTCACAAGGGAATATTCATCATCACTCAGGGATCGCGAACACCAACGCAGGCAATTCAACCCTCCTTCCATCTGCCTCTTCGTCATACGATGCGTTTAACAGTCGCACACAAGGCATATCCGGCTCGCCTTCACATGTCTCGCGCGCTCCGTATGATGCCTTCCCATCTTCATCTCCTTCGAAGTACCCGCACCATACCCTTTCACCGCACCGGCCAGTGCCAGCTGCCCCGAGTGCCGCTTTCCGCGCAGGTGCACCGGAACAAGCGCTTAGTCCCGGATCACGTGCATTGCAAGCACATATCCCTGGGCAATCGCTTCCACAAGGTCTCGCGGCAGGCTTTTCTCGTATCCATCTGCAGCCGCCTAATAGTGCCGCATTCTCTCCCGGATCGCAGCATGGATATGACACAGGATCTGCTGCGAGCGTGGGGTCTAACGGTGTAGGTGCGGATTGGATGGGCGCAACGCCGACGAGGCTGCAGAATCAATTTGACCCGACCTTGTCAAATGCTACTTCAAATGCAATGTCAACGTCAGAACACTTGTCTTCTGCGGCTCTGTCTACAGCCGCGACAAGCACGTCTGCAACGGAGCCTGATGTAGGTGGATTAACGAGCATGTTCTCACACCTCTCTTACTCCTCAGTAGCCGCCGGTGGCTTGCGTGGACACTCGGGGCCAGGGGGAGGTACGGCAGTACCGACATCCGTATCCCGTCGGAGCAGCGCACGCGGATGGAGTTCTCACCCTCTTTCAAGTCCGTTGAGCGGACCTGTGCTGACAAATGACGACGATGAGCTATTCTCCATGGACGAGGAAAAGTGAATTGACCTTGTTTGTTCTGAATCAAGTTCCGAAGGAAACAAAAAAATTGTATTGGAGAGACGAAGCTAAAACGTTAGAAGAAGACTAATCTGAAACGGTGAACCAAAAAAAAAAGGTATAACCCCCGACCGAACAGACATCCAGACCTTCGACACCGACCGACCTATCTCCCATCTCTGTCGAGCGCCTAACATCTTGTATCATCTGTTTCCGTCTCATTCCTCCGCTCGAGTGCGCCTATCTCCGAAGCATATGTGCGCGGTCGGTTCACCTACCTACTTACCCGGTTGTCTCGTATCCCATTTTCTTTGACTACCCTTCAAGCTTTTTTGCCTCTTGTTGTAAAGTGTCTCCGTGCCCCTTCATTTTTGAAAGAGGCCGGGAGGAAGCGTGAGCGCGCGCTCAACGGTGAATATGCGAAGGGCTAGACGCACGCGTGCTATACGATTACAAAACGTACGGACATATTGTTTGACTTGGTTGGGGGTTGATTCAAAGCAATTTTTTACGTGTACTTATGAATAACGAAGACTCATCCATCCTTATCTCCATTTCTTTTATTTTCTCGATCTCTTTTCTTTTCTTTTGAATTGACTACCGCCCCGATTTTCCCGTAAAAGCGCTGTACCAACTAATACCATGTTCTACTTACCGAACATACCGCAGAATGCAGACCAATATGAATGGTCATGGAAACACACACGGAACGCCGCGTTTAAATTCCTTTCCTTGCATATACTTTAGTAGTATCGTACTTATTCCATGTGTTAGTAAGTATGTAGTTTCTGATGTTCTGGAATCGGACTTTTCCTATGTTTTTCATATTTTTTTTCACACCTTTGTGCCCCAATTTATTGAGCTACCCCTTACTCACTGCCAGGGTTATGTTTGCATTGTTTATATTCCGATGTTCGGAGACACATAGCAAAATACTTGACACTCTTCGACAATCTTAGCAGATCTGATGGTTTTACTTAATACATGTATATGAGACGAAAGTCGGGTTGTTCTGCTCGCATATGTTTTTATATCGCAGTAATTGATTGCCAGCCCGCTCCCTGCTAAATAGTATCATGTAGAGAAAGAATGGCGAAAAAACGAGAATAATTTTACAAACCAAGTAGATCTGATAATCTGTAGTAGTTATGACGGGTTTGCTCCCGTGTTTTTTAAATTGCCTCCCGCTCCCGCGATTACGCACTGCTTACGTTTTTGCGACGGAGCCCTCCGAGTGCGAGCCCGAGCTTCCCTTTATCCCTCTGTCGAACATTATATTTATAGTATCCTGTAGTAATGCTGCCACCAACGACGTAGATGTTCGCGGCCTGGGGTCCTGGTCATGGGCGTTTCATAGAATAACAAATACTTATGCTGGCTAGTAATGTATGTCGAAGGACCTTTTCATGTGTTTCAAATCATCTTGTTCATTCACTTAAGGTTTCTTCTTTTGAATAATAGCTTCCCTGGACTGATACCAACCGCATTAATTTCTCACCGCACGGAAATAACGGGAGCAACGACGACAAGGACTGTCCCGTGTCTGCGGACGATATCCGTTTTCGCCCGTCGAGGGTACTAGTGCTCTTTGCCATGTGCTGCTGCATAATGATTAAATGAATATCGCACCTTCGCAATAAAACGCGTCGCCCGATTTCTGGTTGGCCCTGATGAGCTACTTTGTCTTTTACTACCACCTTCCATGTGCCTCCGGCCGAACCTGCACGCAAACACGAACGTTCACGGTCGACAGCGCAACGCTCAACTCTCGAAGAACTCCCTTTGGAACGCTCGTCGCAAGCCCTGACTGGAGTACATTCAATATATTCTCTCGGCGTCGTCGGTGTGCTCCTACGACCCGTTGCTCGGCGTGCTTGTTGCCCTGGCCTCACGGACCCGTTGCCACCGCTCTGCTTTGCATGCTCCCGGAGCTAAGCAACTCTCATGACGTTTACTGCTCAGTATATCTCACTTTGCCTCGATACAATTCAATATGTTATATGTCGCCTGTGTTATCTATCCTTCCCTCGCCCACATGGCTCGCAATGCTGCCCTTCGAATTCTGATTATGATGGGAAGATGAGCGTGATAAGTATCTCGTTCCGCTGAACCTGATGCCCTGGAATGCCGTTTATAGCCTGTGCTCTTTGGCTGTCGATCCGATCATTGTTGCTCTTCCCGACGACGAAGGGCGACGACAACCACTGCCCAAGCCAAATTCCTGTTTCTTTACCAAGCCTCGGCGGCGGATCCGGAGGCAATCCCGTACTCTGCATTGCTGAAACCTTCAGCCAATCCGGAGGCTATCTTCCTAAATCGCGCGTCCGACGATACAAAACTAGCGCAAGTGAGTGCGTTAGCCACGCGACCGAGCTGCCCCGTCGCATTCTTCTTTTCATCTTTGCTTAATTACTTCACGCGCATCTTTTGTCTCTCTCTTCCCTCTAGTTTCTTCGTGCTCCTACTACCTACCTCCGCCCGTCCGCGTCCGTGCAGTTCTTTCCAATCTTGACCTATTATTCAATTTGCTGGATCTCCTATTCCGTCGTCAGTCCCGGTCTAGCTCCCTTGATCCTAGCTATACGTCGCATCTCATTAATTTTCTCCGCCGACAGTTTCCTTTTAAAAAGAATGGAGAGCTCTGACTGAGCTCGACCATCCAGCATTTCTGACTTGACATAATAGCTTACAAGAGAGGCCGCGCGAGGTTTACTATAATTTCACCGTGTTGCGCGATTCAACTCAACAGAGCCCACAGACATCTACTGCACCCACTCGTTCCTTCGCGCGTTCGTCTAGACCTTCTCCAGTTCGACTCAATACCCCTCTCTTGTTTCCCTTCTCCCCTCCTTAAACAGCTTCGCGTCGTCTCCTATTCTTCTCCTCCGCACTCTCTCTTTATCGCATCCCCTGCTCTTTCGACATTCGATTCCTCGTTCGTACATCCGTACGTACGTCTGTCAACTCACACCACCCCTTGAAGCAACACCAGGATTCACAGAGACAAAGTTATGGTCTTTCGGCTTCCCACTCCTTTCGACGCGATTGTCCCATCACCTCCATCATCTACTCGGCGCGTTCGACACACGCGTCCTTGGCGCGGTGTATTCATCCTACATGGTATCAATCTTTTCCAATCCCCTGATGGACAGCAGCGGCTCCTCGTCGCATCTGCCGAGACAGAGGGTGACAAGTAAGTATCCTCGTTTCTTCTTCTAATTCTTCCGTTATGAGGGGCTCCTTCACTGACGTTCTTCATCTTCGAGGAGTAGCCGTACGGACCTATGGCCAAAGCAATTCGAAGTGCACATTGCACAACCCGCATGTCGTATCGCGGACGTCCAGGCTTGGGTCACGCGCAATGACATTCCACTGTGTATGTTTATGCCGGACAGACATGCGTCCGATGGAACCAGCGCAGGCATGAGTGTTACAACAAACGAGGCACATTTCCGTGCACTCTCACGTGTCCTGGTCGAGAACCAGCTGGTACGTTCTCGATCCCTACTCTCTTTCCTACTGTCTATCGCAAATCATTCTAATTCGGGTTTCTCTCCTGTGATCATGTGCTTTAATTTGTAGCTCTGTATAGCGCCCTGGCCTGCTCCAGGCTTCCCAGAGACGCGCACGGGTGCAGGCATTCTTATCTTTCCCAGTGCAGCTTCAATGGGTTTGCTTATTGGTGCTGTGTTTCTCAACACGCCCTTCCCGGACTTCATGGGTCTCTTCTCCGGCGGTGCCGGTGGGGGTCCAAGTGCAAATGCAGTTCCCTCCGGCCTCCCATTCGCAGCTCCCACAAGCCTCGATTACACCTTCGCTGCGTCCCCGTATGGTGCTCCAATCACCGACCCTAACACTGGTGCAGGTCCTAATGCACCAGGATCAGGACCAGGAGCTGGGCCAGGACCACAGCAACAAGGTCAAGTTCACTATCGCGGCGGTTCACCCACATACTACACAGCGCAGCCTTCTTTCGCTATGGCACCAGGAGGAGCCAACGCCTACTATAGCACCAAGCCGCAGATGGACGGCTTCGCAAACGCAAATGACGGCTCGCTGCGCGCCGCTCTTGCTGCGGCGCCCTTCGACTGGTCCATGTTTGACGACACAACCGATGGCTCTGGTAGCACCTCCCCCGGCTCTACGCGTACCTGGTAGCCTGGTAGCCAATTAGTCTCTTAGAACTGTTCACACACTCCTTTTCTCTGTTTCCTTGTCTTATCTCCATCTCTACTTCCCCACTTCTCTCCTTCCCTTTATCCTTCTTTCCCTTCTCGACTCGCCTACAGGACAACGATCAAACTTCGTTCTTTGTTTCCATCTGCTTCCCCTTTGAATTATCTTCTCATGTTCCTAAACTAAGCTGTATCCAGTAGCTGGACCCCGGACGAGCAGTCTGCCTTAAACTTTGTCAAGTTCCTTTATCCAACCTGTAGCCATTCCTTTGGTCCCATAATCATTTACTCTCCTTACCTTTTTCTTTTTCTTTTTCATTTTTTGTCTGTTTTCTCCCCTAATTTCGCTTCTGCTTCCTGTCGCGCTTTTGCAAACGTATTGTTACGTTTTCAAAATCCGAAATCTATACCCCAACCTTCCATCTCACTCTTTTTTTTTACCTAATCGTTCGTTCTCTTCCAGTCTCCGTCTAGATAGAAAGCAAATTGTTCCTGAAGGATGTAGCAAATCAACAGACAGACAGTATAGTTAGTTCGCATATAGAAAGTGATCGACGCAGATGGGGACATGTGGTCTAATCGACAGGGTTACAAGTAAATTGTGCGCGGGAGAGCAATTCGAGGGAGAGTGTACTCGAACGTAATAGAGTTCGTCGGGAGTGAGTGATAAAGAAAACACTGGGTGCCAGTGGATGGTAATGGTATAAAAAGCACATCTATAAAGCCATACTTTTCCATGACCCAAAATGGACGGGACATGACGTTTCAAGCCTTCTGCATTTCCGCAACCCTGTTACGACCTTCTGCTTCTTGCTTGTACTGCCGAGGAAGGAGTGCAAGGCCCGCGGCGTACAGTACCCAGAATAACTACACCAAACAAGGATACACAAAAATCAACAATCATCCTAAGAATAAAAATAATAAGAATAAAAATAAAAACAAAGCACGTACCACGATCAAAGCCTCCCACGCTCTCATCGCCGCGCGGGGAACAACGGTCCCATCACCCGTACCCTCAGTCCATTCCGTCACAATACCATAATGCACTTGGTAAAACGCCAACGCGATGATCACCAACCCCAGAATCGCATGGAAGTAATTCTGTGGTGGACGGTGTCCATTGAGAAGACGCGGAGTCTTGAATGAGTGGATGACAGTGCCGATGAGGAGTTGGACGAGGTAGAGGATAAGGAGTGCGAGACCGGTTTTCTGGAGTAATAATATTTTTTTCATCAGTAAGGCACCAAGAACGAGATAGTTGAATCATGATCAGATGCAAATCACGGAGGATTTGTGAGCAAGAAAAAGGGCATCACGATCGTAAGTCAACACAGCTCAGCGGCCGCGACGATCACGATGACTGGCATCACAAAAAAAAAATCTACAACTAACCTTGTGTGGATCGACAAAATGACCACCCGTGTTTAGTGACGCAGTCGACTGGTACCCATAATACCAACCCGCGAAGATGACTGGTCCCGAAACGATGAATTGTAAGAACGAATGTGCCCAGAACCACCTATTTTTCGCACGGTTCAACAATTCAATTAGAATTATCTCTTCAGTTCTTCTTCTCTTAGAAATTAGAAGTTAAGGAAGCTCAACGTACTTGCTAGTGAATGTGCGGAAGTAGCGTCCAATGAGAACACCGACAGGAAGGAGGAAGATGAATCCGATAGAGCACAAAAGTGCGTGTTTCCGGATTTGCTTATCAAGAGGACTCAAGGGGATTGAGAAGTCAGGTTCAGACATGGCAACAGCGGCTCAGACAAGTCTACGAAGCAATACAACGACCGCAGGAGGGGACACAAAGCCAAGAGATCGCAGCAGTAGCAGCAGGCGGCGAAGAGGAGGTCAGGCGAAAGGCAAAGAAAAGATGACTGCGGACGTCGGTCTATGTATAAGTATCATGAGGCGTGCGAGCGGCGATGGGGCTGCCTGAAACGCACACGCAGCACAGCAGTTCGCGGGGCGTCGGCGAGGAATTTGGCGCTTCTAAATGTTACTCATCCTCGTGCGTGGGAGGGAGGCGCGCATTCCTGGCTAGTTCATTCGTCCGGCATGCCTCGGCGGCCATCCCTCCCATTCATCCCATTATCACAGTGCTGCGGAGAATTATGATCCACTCCGTTTGCTCTCACGTTGGACCCAGGGTGGTGTGCAGTCATGACGCGGGCGGCTATCACAATGACCAGCATGACGGTACGTAAAACGCATAGTCCGTCGTTTTCGGCTGATCAAGTGCATACAACTGTAAATCAGTCATGCACTCCCACGTCGGGGTCGGAAATACTGCATGGCCCATTGGTGAAACGAAGGACGTCCGAGTAATTGTCCAAAACACATCCTGATCAGCGAAGTTAAGGAGGGTGTATAAATATATACGAAGTAAAAGCTTCCTCTTTCGGACAAATTGAAGGTGGCGTTAGTAATAGTATTTGTCAAACAGCCGGTCTTGCTCGCCCTGAATAATAAAAATAGCATTTCATAAATTAACTCTGATGATTTAAATATGAGTGAGCCTTAATACAATAGACTGTCAGTGCACGATTAGATGGACAAAATATATTCATAAGGTTCTAGTAAACAGCTGAGATTAATACTGAAACCAGAATGCTAGCATGTTATTATTTATCAATATGTGCAGACATAGATCTGTGCCCATTGTCAACAATTTGACATCTGAAGAAGCAGTCAAGCCAATAAGCACTTACAAGCATTTTGAGTGATGCCACCAGTTCCTGAGTAAGTACTCATTGAAAGTACAGTGCATAATGCAACAAGTATTATTTCAGATATAGTACAAATTGTACACATTTAAAAAATTTGCAGGCTCCTGTTTTATGCATGTACATGTTATCTCTATCACTAGTGCACCACCAACCTTTTCCTTAGTATATTGAAATTCAAATACACAGTAAGTGCCCCTCTAAACATTAAGGTTCAATGTTCTTCATTCACAGAAAAATGTCTGTTTAACAGATTGGTGCCTGTCAGATATATAGAGTAATACACTATCAGTGACTAACCTGGTATATCTGTGCCAAAGCTCCAATTATTCTCTCTGTACCTTCTGTAAGAATTTTCTATATATTTATACTGTTGTTGAGAAATTGCAAGTAATCCTCTCCTTTAAACAACCTATAAATGTTCACACCTTACACTTCTACTAGTCAATCCACTAATTAGGAGATCCAAGAGAGTACCAGTACCTTATATAATCACCCACCTGTCAAGCTATAACACATAACAGGATAAGTATAGACACAGAGACTCTATTACAGCCAGGATAAGAAATATGCAAAACACAAGTGAGAAGGGCAGCTATTACTAGCAAGTTTTGATTTCTGTGTTTCATTTATCTAGCTGTGTTTCATACTGTGTAGTGATTTATTAGACTGGAATTATGTTGTGATCTGTCCTGATCTTAGCAAGCACCCTTTGCCTTACAATTAGAAACACTGAAATATAAGTGCTTCTAATAAATCTGAGTACTAATACATATATAATCTGTTGTAGCACATGAGTAGTCTTTCCCCTTTTCTATTAAGGGCCTTTTGTGCTCATAGACAACTTGAACCCTAGGATGAATGCTCCAGACCTGTCAGCAACAGTGTAGAGGGGACCTGAAGGCTCAGTGAGGGGACCCAGGCTACAACTATCCTACACAACAGAAGTATGGAACACAAGCACTAGAACATAGTCAGAACTTGTAGAACAAGCAGAGAGAGAGAGTGAGACAAGAGTAGAGTATATAGAGTGAGCCTAAGAGTACAGGACTACCTAGAGTAGACAAGATCAAGACTATAGGACTAGTCTGATCTTGTATGCCTATATATACTAAACTACACAAGAGTACTCAGGGAGTATGAGCCACTTAAGAATGATAAGCTACAAAGAATGAAAGAAAGGAATGTTAAAGATAAAGGTACAAAGAATGAAGGGATGGACAAAGGGTAAGAGACTATAGAATGATACAAAGAATGAAGGGGTGGTCAAAGGAATAGAATGATGAAGTAAGGAAGGGTAGTAGTAAGAGTCAGTATGTATATAGTTTATAGACAGTACCTCTGAGGGACAGAAGTCCTGAGTTCTAGTATGGAAGGGTGTAGAACCCTTAGAACTGAAGGTACAAAAGTAGAGAACTGTAACATCACCCCCCCTCTAAAACCAATTGTCCTAATTGGTGAACATAGGGCTTGGTTAGTAGCTTAAGTATAGGTTGGAATGGTAAGGCTTGGAAATCTGTGAGGCTAAGTTTGTACAGAGTACTAGGATGAAGCTGATAGAAGTCTCAGATTGCCTTAGGAGTATAGGTGAGGTTCTTAGCAGGTTCTCAAGTACACTCCTCAAC